TGTTTTCTCCCTCCCAACACCCACTTCCCAAATTAAACCCGGGGGCTGTCTCCAGGCAGATCTCCCGAGACACGGCTTGCATCCTTTCAGGGAGGCTTCACACTGGGGAGCAGGAGCCACGCGCACACACACACACACACCTGCCTGATTTCTTTAGCTGGAGCTGCTTGGACGCCTGGACAGCAGCGCCCATCTGCTTGCAGCTGCGAGTGATGTCGGCCACACTAATGAGGTCTCAACTCTGTCCTGAGTCCTAGGCTTCTCACTTTCAGGCTCATAGCATCTTCAGACGGAAGGCTCTCAAGCGCCCACCTCAGGACCCAGGGGCCCCCTTGGCCCGGCAGCACCCTGGCCTCCAGCCTCACGACCCTGGAAGCTGCTCCCCTGGAGAGTTTATCAAAATGACAATTATGTGGTTTGGCTAGATTCAGTCTCTACAGTTGTCATAGAAACTAACTATAGGTTGTATTACTAAATAATTTCAGGGGGAAACCAAGTGATGTTATTTTCTTACCAGTAAGCAGCCAACTATGTGTAAAATCCATCATTCTGTGGGGGGCACATGTTTAATTGAAGAGTCAGTTTTTGAAACAGAATTCACAGGTGTTGGCTACCCCCAACGAGATCGAAATGCAGCTCAAAATCACCAGAGGTCAGTTCCAGTTGGACCGGGCAGTGTTCCTGAGCCCTGGTGGGTGGTTGACACTCTGCTGTTCTCTGGGCTGCCAAGATGAAAGAAAGCCGTTGGGTCCAGACAGGGTGGCCTCCACCCTGTGACAGACAGCCCGCACCCTCATCTGCAAAGCCCATGGCCCAGGGTCGAGTTCCCAGTGACCCTGAGCTGCCAGCTTCTCTTCTCTGGGTCCCCTGACCTGCCAAGAAGGGGGTCTCAGAACCCTCACGTGACCCACCCCTGCCTTGGCACAGCTCATGAGTGTGGACTTTGGCTACTAAGATTCTGGAAGCTTGCTGGAGAGGACCCAGCAGCTGGTGGGCACTGAGGAATAACAAAATCGGCTTTGGCTTTTGCTCCTTGAATCCCTGATAGTTCTTGGGTGACAAGAGAGTCTTCTCTTGTTCACAACCAGCCCCTCCCAGCACAGCTGAGTCTATGCCAATGAGGTGACTCTGCTGGGGCCCCAGATAGCGTCAGGACAGGGCCAGTCACCAGAAGGGCAAAGTGACCAGGGGTGAGAGGGCCTGGGGGAAGACGACGGGACTGGAGACAGGATCGGGGCTCTCAGATGGTGAGACTGGAGAGTGGTGGGGTGGCGAACGGGGGCGAGGCTGCAAGGCTCACGGCCCACCCCCATGCCCACCCCCGCTGGCATCAACGTCTCTGTTACACGGGCACCTCACAGTCCAGTCAAGCCAAAGGGGTAAGAGCATCCCTCATATCCAGCGGGTTGCAGGACAGATGGCAACTGAAGGTGTTTAAATGAGGCATCAACTTGTTTCCCTCAGAGAATGGGGTCGTGCAGTCCCTGGGCCCTCAGAATCGAAGGGGTGACCATTTCCACGGGGCTGACTGGCCAGAGCACTGGCCACAAAGCCTGGCCCATCATGCAACATGGCTCCAGAAGCTTGGGTTGGGGCATGATTCATTTTTACGGCACGGGACACAAAGTAAGTAACTTTTTTTATACTAACAAAGGTTATTAAAAAAGGGCCAAATAATTAAAATGCAGTTTTAGCTTCAAATACAAGAATTCTGAGAATGAATTCCCCCAGACAGACTGTGAGGGTATTTACACAAAGTCTATGACGTGCAAACCTCTGGGCATTCATGTCCCCGGAGTCTTATACTGACATCCCACCTGCTGTATTTGGAGGTACTTCAAGGCGGAGCCCCCAGAGATGGGACGTCCTAAGAAAAGGGGATGAGCTGGCAATTCCCTGGTGGTCTAGTGGTTAAGACTTCAAAGGAGGCCTGGGTTTCATCCCTTGTGGGGGAACAAAGATCCTACAAAGTGAAGTGAGTGAAATTTGCTCAGTCGTGCCTGACTATACAGTCCATGGAGTTCTCCAGGCCAGAATACTGGAGTGGGTAGCCTTTCCCACAGTTCAGTTCAGTTCAGTTCAGTCACTCAGTCGTGTCCAACTCTTTGCAATCCCATGAATTGCAGCACGCCAGGTCTCCCTGTCCATCACCAACTCCCAGAGTTTACTCAAACTTGCCCATCGAGTCAGTGATGCCATCACCGACTTCACACTATCTCATCCTCTGTCGTCCCCTTCTCCTCCTGCCCCCAATCCCTCCCAGCATCAGGGTCTTTTCCATTGAGTCAACTTTTCACATGAGGTGGCCAAAGTATTGGAGTTTCAGCTTCAGCATCAGTCCTTCCAATGAACACCCATGACTGATCTTCTTTAGGATGGACTGGTTGGATCTCCTTGCAGTCCAAGGGACTCTCAAGAGTCTTCTCCAACACCACCATTCAAAAGCATCAATTTTTTGGCGCTCAGCTTTCCTCACAGTCCAACACTCACATCCATACATGACCACTGAAAAAAACCATAGCCTTGACCAGACGGACCTTTGTTGGCAAAGTAATGTCTCTGCTTTTTAATATGCTATCTAGTTGGTCATAACTTTCCTTCCGAGGAGTAAGCGTCTTTTAATTTCATGGCTGCACTCACCATCTGCAGTGATTTTGGAGCCCCCAAAAATAAAGTCTGACACTGTTTCCACTGTCTCCTCATTTATTTCCCATGAAGTGATGGGACCAGATGCCATGATCTTAGTTTTCTGAATGTTGAGCTTTAAGCCAACTTTTTCACTCTCCTCTTTCACTTTCATCAAGAGGCTCTTTAGTTCCTCTTCACTTTCTGCCATCAGGGTGGAGTCATCTGCATACCTGAGGTTATTGATATTTCTCCCGGCAATCTTGATTCCAGCTGTGCCTCTTCCAGCTCAGCGTTTCTCATGATGTACTCTGCATATAAGTTAAATAAGCAGGGTGACAATATACAGCCTTGACGTACTCCTTTTCCTATTTGGAACCAGTCTGTTGTTCCATATCCAGTTGTAACTGTTGCTTCCTGACCTGCATACAGGTTTCTTAAGAGGCAGGTCAGGTGGTCTGGTATTCCCATCTCTTTCAGAATTTTCCACAGTTTAACAGTTCAAGCCACTGGCAAACCGCTAGGTGGGAAGACCCTGATTCTTGATCAGTGATGCTTTCAAGGAAAGATCTTGATCAAAAGGGGAAAATGTGGAATTCATTAAGGACTAGTCAGCTAACCTTTGGAGTTAAGGCAGGCCTGTAGGAGGCGCTCTCACGCCCACCTCCTACGTCAATTTCCCTAACCGGAAGAGACTTCTACTTACACTCCAGCGGGAAGAAGATAACTTCCCTCCGCCCCTGCCCCCAACAGCCCAGCCAATCAGAGACGGCAGCAGCTCAGCTAATCGGATGAGTCCATGCTTGGCTCGTCGAGTGGACTCTGGCTATCAGAGCCCCTCCCAGATTTTTTTTTCCTATAAAAGCATGTTCCCAGTGCTCGTTCTCTGGATTTGACTGTGGTCGGTCCTTGTCTGCATGTTCTGATTTATACTTCCTCCACTGCTTTTATTATAGCTAATCTGGTGGTTGAAGTGGTATCTCTTTGTGGCTAATGGTATTGAGGATCTTTTCATTTGTTCTTTAGCTGTTCGTGTACCTTCTTTGGTGAAATGTGTTGCCCACGTAAAAAGTTAAGTTATTGTTAACTTACAGATCTTTTTATTCTGCACTTCCCTGGTGGCTCAGTTGGTAAAGAATCTGCCCGCAATGCGGGAGACCTGGGTTTGATCCCTGGGTTGGGAAGATCCCCTGGAGAAGGGAAAGGCTACCCACACCATTATTCTGGCCTAGAGAATTCCATGGACTGTGTAGTCCATGGGGTCGCAAAGAGTCGGACACGACTGAGCGACTCCCACTTACTCATTTATTCCTCGTTTTCTGATGAAAACAACTGGCTGTCATATTATTACAGCTGACAGAGGCTTCGTTAGCCTTGAGCTGCGCAGACTGATTGCCCTGGTGCATTTACTCAGGTTGACATGGTCAGATTCCAGGAACTCGGTTTATCTAGGACAGGAAGCTTTTCATCCTCTGGGAGTTCTGTTATCACTAGGATTTTTCCAGGAGCTAGAATGCTGCAGGGCATGCGGGGGTGGGGTAGTGAGGCTGGTGGAGATGGGTGTAGAGGGTCCAGGCGGCTCCCTTTGTAACAGTGGATTTCTTGAGTCGCCTCAGGTGTGTATGTTTTTAACGCTGTTTCTTTTAAAAAATAATTTCAAAATAGTGAAATTTGGCTTAATTTTAAAGTCTTCTAACTAGCGAAACCTAATTTAGTTTCTATTTTTGAAAGGACTAAAAGGGGATAAGTATATGGAGTGGTTTGAAAGGCAACTCGAGTCGGTGTGGAAGCCAGGGAAGCCGGAGGCTCTGCCCGCACCGGGCCTTTGTACACTGTGGCGGCCTCTTTCCTTACCCAGTTCAGAACCGCCACCTCCCGTCCCCAACGGGGGTGCCTGGGCCCCGCTTCAGGCTGCAGCCGCACTCCTCTGCGGAGAGCAGCCCACGGACAGGCGCTGGTGGCATGCAGACGTCCTGGCACAGCGGGCTCACTAGCGGAGGCCGGCCCGCGAGAGCCCAGTGACCGCCACGGCCGCGCTGCTCGCGGGAGCCCACGGCCAGCGCCGGGACCAGAGCCGCCGGGAACCCGGAGCTTCCCGCACGGATCGGCAGGCCCACCCCGCCTCAGGTTCAAGGAGGGACCCCGCCCAGCCGGGCTTCCCGCTGATTGGCTGAACGGGAGAAAGGCGGGCGGTGATTGGGCGGGCCGGACGCCTCTCGCCTCGCGCCCGGTGGCCGCGCCTTCTTCCTCAGCCGCAGAACGGGGAGCGGAGGCGATTGGTGCGGACGCCTGCCTGCCCCGCCCCTCTACGTCACTACCCGGCGTGCCGCGCGCCGCACTTCCCCTCCGCCCGCTAATGTTTTGGCCGATCCAAGATGGCGGTGCAGGAGTCCGCCGCTCAGCTCTCCATGACCCTGAAGGTGCAGGAGTACCCGACCCTCAAGGTGGGGTCTGCGACCGCGGTGCGCCCGCGCCTGTCAGGGGCCGCGGGCTGGGCGGCGACCGGGCGCGGGGCGGGGGGGGGGGGGAGGGGCGGGGCCGAGGCCGGGGCGCGGCCTGGGGTGCCGGGCGGGGGCCGAGGGCTTAGGGGGCCGGGCTTCCCCTGGGCCCGGGAGCGGGGGCCCGGGCTCCCCGGGGGCCGGGCTCCCCGGGGGCCTGGGGGCTGGAGGCCGTGCCCTCCGGGGGCCGGGGACCTGCTGGCCGGGCGGGTGCGGCGTGTGGCCGTGTATGCCCCCGCCTGCCCCCGTGACAGGGCAGGGAGCGCGTCTCCCTTGCGCCCCACTTCGCCCGCTGGAACCCGATGGTGGCCCCTTCGTCCTAAAAAGAACGCGAACCGCATCAGGGACCGTTCTGGCCGTAGGCAGGCTGGTTGCTTTGGAGGCGGGGGTCTCCGGAGTGTGCGGTCGGGGGCACCCAGCTAGAGAGAGACCATAATCGGCGGTTGTGTCCTGCTTTCGTCCCGGAAGCTTCTGTCAGACGGTGTTGACGGATGGCTTCCAGCCTCTCATTAGGGACCTGTGAGGAGAGGCCTCACGACCCAATGGGAGCCCATTTGCGGGGCGTCACCAAACCTGAAAAACAGCCCTTACCGCTCGGTCGCCAGTTGCGTGACCTTGGATGGTCACTTAGGCAAGTCGACTTAGACTGCAGTGAAATCGCTGTTCCTGGGAGAGGGACTCCTACTAGTTCTTAACTAGTTAGTAGAGGATTCAATAGTAATTGGCTACAATGAAACACCTGGGAGTAAATTCCTTCAAGGATCAAGGTTATAACATTCCCAGGAGAGCTGCAGCTGAGCCTGTGTGAGTGTGAGTTCCTTTCCCTGGGGGGTCAGGTATTGTCTCTGCTCCTGGAGGGCCCAGCTTCCCTATCCACCAAAATGGTGACAGGTGGTGGATGCGATGTGGCAGGGTTGCTGTGAGCTCTGTTCACTTCCTGGGAGACCTTGGGAGGGTCCTCAACCCCTCGAGATTGTTTACTCCACTCAGGGTGAAGTGTGGACTCTGGCTGTGGGAGGTAGCTGCCACAGTCCTTACTCCTTGAGCCCTGACGGGAAGGGAGGGAGGGAAGCCCTGCACCGCTGGCCTGAACCAGACGCCTGTTTGCTGGACCCCACTTGTAAGGGGTGGTGTTTTTATATGCAGCTTGGGCAAGACCCTGCAACTCAGAGGCCAGGGTTCTCTGCTGCCCCAGGCACTCAACTAAATGTCCTCCCCACCCAAAGAAAAAAAAAAGAAGTGTGAGTAGGGAACCGCTAACTGCTGACCTTTTATCTCACTCAGACCCCATCAGGCCTGCTGTTCGACTGACAGATGAGAAAGTTGAGAGATGAGAACATGGGAAACACCAGACAGGAAGGCTGTCTCCTCCGAGTCCTCCTCTCATTTCATAATCATGAACGCAGTTTGAGTTCCAGACTTATTAAGTAGACTTTGACTAAATCAGTCATGCCGGCTTCCCAGGTGGCTCAGTGGTAAAGAATCCACCCACCAACGCAGGCGACACAGGAGGCGTGGGTTCGATCCCTGGGTCAGGAGGGTCCCCTGGAGGAGGAAATGGCAGCCCGCTCAAGTGCTCTTGCCTGGAGAATCCCATGGACAGAGCAGCCTGGCGGGCTGCAGCCTGTGGGGGCGCAGAGTCGGGCATGACTGAGCGCATAGGCACAGAATAGGCATGGCGAACGTCTTAGAGGCAGAGAAATGATCTAGTGTCGTTTCAGGTGAGCTGGCCAGATAGAAGTCTTTCCCTTCCTTATTGGAATGGTTTTGGAAAGTGGAATTTTCACAAGGTACTCTCTCCATCTTTCCCTTACAGAGTGTTTAGATCCCACAGAATAACTGCTCTCCTCCTGACACATGTGTCATTGCGGGTAGACCTTTCTCAGGACCAGTTCCTGGTGGGTGATGAGGAAGTTTCACTGGGAACAAGGGCTGCTCAGGTGGGAAGTAGGATTAAACAGAGCCCAGGAAAGCAGTTGGCTCGGGAGTTCTGCTTGTCTCGTCCTGAGCAGGGCAGAGGTGCCGTGGGGTGGGGGCTGAGGCCGTTGCTGGCAGGCTGCGCTTCTCCAGCGTGAAGGCAGGTCCTACCGCAGGCAGTGGGCACGAGCATGCCGTGGGCAAGCCTCCTTCAGACAGGAGGGCGGTGGGCGCAGCTTGGCTTGAAGCTGCTGGCACCCTCTGGCCCGCCCTCCTCCCCCAGCCCCAGGCCTGGGGACATTGGGATGCATCTCTGCAGCGGAGGCTGTGGGAGGCCCGGCAGCAGCCCTGGGCTCCTCCCCGCCAAGTGAGAGCTGCTAGCCTGGATGCCCTCGCTGTGGGGAGGGCGTTCTTCCCGCAGCGGGCGCAGGGGGCGCGCCTGGGCCCTGGCTGGCAAATTTCCCTGCGGTGCTGTTGGGTGTGGGGTTGTGGGTCGTGCCCCCCAGGCCTCAGGGAAGGAGAAGCGGAAACCTGTGAACTGGAAACGCTGTTTTAATTTGTCTCTGGAAGTGTTTTCTGATTATGAAAGCAATTTGTGTTTGTTCTCCAAGTTATTTTGCTGACCATCCCATTCGGGTTTTGGGGTTTTTACTTCTGTTTATTTCCCGTCAGATAGCTGAAGGAAAATCATTTTATAGAGGCCTGTCTGTCACCCCACGGATCAGCGGGCCCGCTCAGCCAGGATCAGGGACGTGGCATTGGTGGTGGGAGACCAGCCCTGCAGCTCACTCCTCCCATGGGTCTCCCCCGGGCACATGGAGCCTCGTCTGGGCGCCTAGGCCAGGGGTCCCCCGTGTCAGCACCCCCTCCCAGCACCCCCCTACAGCTCACTTCCGTGGGTCTCCCCCGGGCCCACCCCTGGGCACATGGAGCCTCGTCTGGGCGCCTAGGCCAGGGGTCCCCTGCGTCAGCACCCCCTCCCAGCACCCCTCTGCAACTCACTCCTCCTGTGGGTCTCCCATGGGCCCACCCCTGGGCACATGGAGCCTCGTCTGGGAGCCTAGGCCAGGGGTCCCCTGCGTCAGCACCCCCTCCCAGCACCCCTCTGCAGCTCACTCCTCCCGTGGGTCTCCCCCAGGCCCACCCCTGGGCACATGGAGCCTCGTCTGGGCACCTAGGCAAGGGGTCCCCTGCGTCAGCACCCCCTCCCAGCACCCCTCTGCAGCTCACTCCTCCCGTGGGTCTCCCCCAGGCCCACCCCTGGGCACATGGAGCCTCGTCTGGGAGCCTAGGCCAGGGGTCCCCTGTGTCAGCAACCCCCTCCCAGCAGCCCCCACTCGGCACGTTGCTCCTAACTCTATCTGGGGACGGGTTCGCCTGTGTCTTTTAATTCTCCACAGAAGTATTTAAATTTTCTACTTTTAGCGTGGTGACAGTTTTGTTGACCAGGTACTTACCTGCAATTTCAAATCCTGGATTTGTACTTTTCGTGCCAAGTATATGCCTAAAGTTACAACTTTCAGTTCAGTTTTCCAAACTTGGTCTCAGCTGGACTTGGAGGATCCGCATGGTCTCAGGTTTGAGAGGCGCTGGTAGCGTGAAGCATGTGGACTTTAGAGACGAGTGTATGGTGGCTGTGGGCTGGATCCTTAACCTCTTTTTTCTTTCTGTGCGTGCTAAGTCGCTTCAGTCATGTCCCACTCTGTGCGATCCTATGGACTTGGACTGCAGCCCTCCAGGCTCCTCTGTCTGTGGGATTCTCCGGGCAAGGATACTGGAGTGGGTTGCATCTTCTCCAGGGGATCTTCCTGACCCAAGGATTGAATGCGCATCTCTTACATCTCCGGCACTGGCAGGCGGGTTCTTTACCACTAGTGCCAGCCAGGAAGCTTTTTACTTTAGGTTCTGTGATCACAGAGTGACCGTCTCTCCCACCGACACTTGCAGCATGGTTGCTCTCCTGTTCTCAGGTCAGCCTCGTCACACCTGCAGAGTGCTGTCTGCTCTCACCCGAGAGCGCCCCAGGCCTGGCCCTGGCCTCCCAGAACCCGCAGACCAAGCGCTCAGCTGGAAGGCCCGCTCTGAAGCCCCATGCCCACCCTGCACGGTCTCCCGGCCTGACACGCCCGTGTCGCTCACTGGCGCTGGGATGTGTGACTTCATGGAGGAGACCCGACCGGCATGTCCTCTGCCCCCTGCCCTCCCGCAGAGATGCAGCTTGACGGGAGGATGCTCCACACGCTCTGCAGGCTGGCTATGCTTTAAGTGTTGTTGTATTTTGAACAGATTCAAGTCTGGGAAAGAGCTTTCTGGGCTCCAATTCCCTGTGTGGCTGTCGGAGCTGGCGCCGACCCCAGCCTCAGGCAGTGCTGGCCAGGGGCCTGCCGCCACCATGCGCCGCAGGCCCCAGGCTTTGGGTGGGTCTGTCATGACTGTGACCACGGAGCTCATCACCTCTGTGTTCTAGTGAGGCTCGGAACACACCTGGGGCACATTAAGGGACACCCCCGGGAGGCGAATCCCCGCAGGCGCCTCCGTCTCGGTGCGCGGTTCGGGTGGCCCTGCGAACCCCCGCAGGCGCCTCCGTCTCGGTGCGCGGTTCGGGTGGCCCTGCGAACCCCCGCAGGCGCCTCCGTCTCGGTGCGCGGTTCGGGTGGCCCTGCGAACCCCCGCAGGCGCCTCCGTCTCGGTGCGCGGTTCGGGTGGCCCTGCGAATCCCTGCAGGCACCTCCGTCTCGGTGCGCGGTTTGGGTGGCCATGCAGAGGGCCGGGGGAGGCCCCTTCGGGTCGTCCCCGTCGCACACTGGGTGGAGGCAGCCTCGAGTGGGGACCTGGGGTTCAGGGAGGTCCTGCGAGGGGGCGGGCCCTCGGGGCAGGCTGGCGGTTTAGGGGCGGCTGGGGAGGTGGGTTTGGGGAGGGGCCGCGTGGGCTGAGTTGAAATCTTGGCAAGCCTGACCCTGAAGGCTTGTGGTCCAGCTGGAGCAGGCGGCTCCAGGCGTCCCAGAAGCCCTGCAGAGGGCAGGGCCACT